TTTTCTATTTCTTCCCCGGCTTCTTCCTCCTCCATTTTCTTCCAGGCTTTTCTCCTCTCCGGCCTCCTCTCCGATTATATCGCATAAGCCCCTTTCATTGCAAAGCCCATCTTGCATGGGAGCGCCCACCACCATTTCGTCTATAAGGAACTGAAAATAATTAAATGTCAAAATATTAATATGTTTACATATATATGTATTATACATGACATATATGTGTGTATTTATATACATATAATTATTTCAATAAATAATATCACTATCTTGCTGCTGCTGTTGCTACTGCTGCTGCTGTTGCTGCTGCTGCTGCTGCTGCGGTTATTGTTTCTGTATAAAAAAAATTTTTGTTGAAAAATCTAAAAATTACAAATTAACCAGATACAGATCTGGAAATAATTTTATTGGACCATCAATATTATTATGTAGGACACTTAAATATAATAATAATGTTCACAAATTTCTGATCTAGCAACCGATTTGAATAACAGATTTCACAGATAATCATTTTAAAGATCCAATAAAATTATTTACATATCAGTATCTGTCCAAATTTTTATATTTGTCAGCAAAAGCGTTCTTTCTCTTTACCAGCAAGTTTACTTGCTCCCGCAACTGTTGCAATTGCAGCTCATGCTGCTCTCTTAATTGCTGCATCTGCAGCTCATGCTGTTTCTGCTGTTGTTGCAGCATATCAGCGAATTTTTTCTTTTGCTCTGTAAAATACATAAACTATATAATAGTAACGTTATTATACTACTAATTATACTATTAATATCAGATAATGATAAAATTTTAATACACGCGTGCACACATACACGCGTACGCACGCAGGCACATGCACATACACGCACGCATGCACGCACGCAGGTACACGTACACATAGGCACACGCACACGCAGGCACACGCAGGCACATACGATAATAAAGCATATTAAATTAGATTGAAAATGCTGATAATGTGATTTATGTTTCTTAAATAATAATAAATTGTAACTAACCTGTCATTGCACAAACGGCGTCGTCGAGTATGCTGCTCGCTGTGTCGCCGAATAAGAAAGAAACAACGATCTCAATTTTCCATTGTTTATTTCACGATGCGCGACGATTTCATTTGTCTTTCGGTGACTTCGTGTACCGTCTTTCGATCACATCGTGTATCGTGTCCCATACATCTTGACTTTTTAATATTGAAGAATATATTCGAGATTAAAAGGTATAACTTTCCATATACACATTTTACACACACACACACACACACACACACACACACACACACACACACACACACACACACACACACACACACACACACACACACACACACACTA